ATATTAAATAATATAGAAACAATAATGTAAATTAAGGTTTTAATATGTCATGTATAACTAATGTAAATGGATTAAATTCTGTTGAAAGACATTAGGTGAAAATTTTTGGGTATTACAAGAAACAAATTGATTTAAAAATGTTAAAGGTAGGCCGGGCATGGTGGCTCACATCTGTAATCCCAGCACTTTGGGAGGCTAAAGTGGGCAAATCACCTGAGATCGGGAGTTTGAGACCAGCCTGACCAGCATTGAGGAACCCCATCTGTATTAAAAATACAAAACTAGCCAGGCGTGGTGCCACACGCCTGTAATCCCAGCTACTCGAGAGATAGGAGAATCACTTGAACCCTGGAGGCAGAAGTTGTGATGAGCCGAGATCGCACCATTGCACTCCAGCCTAGGCAACAACAGTGAAACTCCGTCTCAAAAAAAAAAAAAAAGTTAAAGGTAAAGGATGGTCAGCGTTATATTCAGTAGAATTTACATCATCATAAAACAGATGAAAAGTACAGATTAGATTATTTTATGATTTTAAAATGAAGTTAACAGTGAGGATACAGCCAAGCAATTGTACATCTGAGGGAAAAATGAAAATAAGTCCTTTCCTCTATGTGCTAAAATAAATTCTAGATGGATTAAGGACTGAAATTGTAAAAGACTTGAGAAAATGTAATTAAAGCTTGAGAAAATATAATTCATCTTTTGCAGTGTGTTTATAGGACAGTGTTTCCATCTCAAAGATCTGTGAGTTTTGGTTTATGTGACAGCAAAGAATTCAAGTTGGCTGAAGAGAGGAGTTCTGGTGATGGTAGGGATCCCCAATTAGTTTGGGTGGTTATTTTTTATTCTCAGCAATGAATTCAACTTCACTAAACAGTTTCAATGATAGGCAAACCATATAGTTAGAAATATTTAACTTACTTGCACCTTTTATTGGCAGTTTTGCTTGTCTCCCCTAAGCATTCTCATGCAGACGTTTTCCAGGTGAAATACCTCTCCTCAGAGCCGTAAGTTTAACCAGTTACGAAGTATGTAATGTTAATGACCATTTAGTTCATGTTTTTTATGAAGTTTAACAGTAATGTACTCTGAGCTGGCACTCTGCAATCCTACTGTATATTGTAATAATTGCACAGCCGTGGTATAGCACCATGTCCTTAAATAACTTGTATCAGTGAAAGGCTTCTTTACCACCAGTAGGCTTCACTATTTCACACAACATCATGGGGTAGAGAAGGATGTCACAAGGAAGAGAGATGAAACTTTAACCATAAAAGAAAAAAAATATTTAATTTGACTATATTAAAATTAGGAAGAGCCTGATAAGACACCTGTAACTCATATAACAAAGGATTGACGAAGGAATATGTTTTTGTTTTTGGTTTTTGTTTTTTTAAGACAACTTCCAACTCTGTTGCCCTGGCTAAAGTACAATGATGTGATCTCGGCTCACTACAACCTCCACCTCCTGGGTTCAAGTGATTCTCTTGCCTCATCCTCCCAAGTAGCTGGGAATACAGGCGTGTGCCACCACGCCCAGCAAATTTTTGTAGTTTTTAGTAGAGACAGGGTTTCACCCTGTTGGCTAGGGTGGTCTCGAACTTGCCTCAGGTGATCCATTCACCTCAGCCTCCCAAAGTGCTGGGATTGGAGGCGTGAGCCACCACACCTGGCTGGAATATGGTTTATTATATGTTAAGTATGCTTTAAAAATGAGAGAGGAAAAACACCCCAAGAAGTCATGAGCAGGAAATAACCAGGAATTTTTACAGACAAGTAAACATAGCTAATAAACATAGGAAAAGATGACAGTAATTAGGGAAAGGCAAATTAAGACAATGAGAGCTAATTCTTTATCCAAGTAGATTGACTAAAATCAAGTCTGGCAATACCAAGGGTTCAAGAGGATGTGGCTCAGTGGTAACTCATATATTGACTGTATAGATGCAAACTGGTAGAACTGCTCCAGGAAATAATTTGACTTTCTTGAAAAGTTGAACATAGATACCTTATTAGTATCCAGAAATTCACCCAGGAAATGCTTACACATAAGCACCTTGAGACAGAAGTGTTCAGAATAGTGTTGTTGTGTCAGAACATCAACAAGAACTGGAGATGTAAACCCAGCACTTTGGGAGGCTGAGGCATGAGGATCACTTGAGCCCAGGAGTTTCAGACTAGCCTGGGCAACATAGTAAGACCCAATATCCACAAAATTTTTTTTACAAATTAGCCAAGTGTGGTGGTGCATGGCTGTAATCCCAGCCTTTTAGGAGGCTGAGGTGGGAGGATAGCTTGAACCTGGGAGGTTGAAGCTGCCGTGGGCCATGCTGCACTCCAGCCTGGGTAACAGAGCAGCAAGACCCTGTCTCAAAAAAAAAAAAAAAAAGCAACTGGAGGTGACCCAAAGATCTTTCACAAATGATCAGATAAACAAATTTTGGAGTATCTACCCAATGAATTATTACAGTGCAAAGAAGAACATGAATTATTGCTATACGGAAGCACATGGATGAATTTTATACATGCATATAACTGAAAAAACAAGTATTAGCTATAATTTGCTCAACAAAATTAAACAGTATATTTGTTTACATATGACATTTATGATGAAACTGTAGAAAAAGTAATAGAATTATAAACTAAGTTTAGGAAACTTCATCAGGATGGAGAAGAGATGCAAGGGGCATTGTTTGGAGAAACATGAGTAAATGCAGGTTACTGATAGTACTCTACTTATTTGTTGCGGGTGTTTCAAAGATGTTCACTTTATTATACTTTGTAATTACCACATATTACAAGTCTTTTGTATGCATCAAATGTAGAGGTACTTTTTTACTCTAGAGCTTAAATTCCAGCACTTTTTACTAGTTTGGGCCTTTTCCAAAGGCCCTTAGAAGGGCCATAGTAACAATATGTTCGCATGGTTGGACGTTTTCATCAGATTTACAATAGTAAGATATTTTAAGTATAGTCATTTAAGACCCCTGTCTCTCTTCACCTTGATTTCTTCTTTGTGTCAGCTGGCAGTAGAGTGGTTTCAGGCATTTTGTGATTGGTGGCTTTGTTTGTATTTAGTGGGATGTGTTTGTGATTCAGAGTCATTTCTGGATGTAGGTAATTATAGCCTGTCAGCCTGATTGTGTTGGGAATGTGGTCTCTGGTGCCTGGCACCTGTAATATGTGAGTATTAGAGAAGCCAAAGTTTGAAATATGTGAAACCAAAAGGTAATCAGGAAAAAATTCGCAATTATCTGATGTTTAAAATTTTAAGTATAGGATTTCGTTCTCATCAATTTCCAGTCAAAACAGCACTTTTCTCCTGTCAGAAATAACAACATAGCACATTCAATTATAAATTCGCCATATTTTTATTTTCTTTTTTTTATAGGAATCCTGCTTTTTTTTTTTTTTTTTCTTTTTCTTTCTTTGAGACAAGGTCTCGCTCTGTCACCCATGCTGGAGTGCAGTGGTGCAATCACAGATCACGGCAGTGTCTAATTCCTGGGCTCAAGTGAACCTCCTGCATCAGCCTCCTCAGTAGCTGGGACCACAGGCATGTGCCACACCTGGTTGAATTCTCCCTTTAAAATAATATAAGAATGTTTTTATTTGTAGGACACAAAACTGTAGCAGTGTCTTCAGGCAAAGCTGCTAGTTTTATGCATAATGATTATCAGTTTTAGCAAATACATCATTAAACCATGCTAGAGAAAAGATTTGATTTGTTCATTTTCTTTGGAAAATAATACAAGAATTGTATTCACGAATTGTATTCACGAAGAGACAATCAAATAATACACAGTCCTATAGGAAAAATATAATTATATAGGCACATTAGGGTCTTAATTAATGAAGAGTGTTCTTCTGTTTTTCTGAATTTGTTTAGTATACATATCAGGTTTGTTTGTTTGTTTAAGACAGAGTCTCGCTCTGTAGCCCAGGCTGGGGTACAGTGGCACTATCTTGGCTCACTGCAACCTCTGCCTCCTGAGTTCAAGTGATTCACTTGCCTCAGCCTCCCAGAAGGTGGGATTACAGGCATGTGCCACCACGCCTGTCTAAGTTTTGTATTTTTAATAGAGATGGTGTTTTGCCCTGTTGGCCAGGCTGGCCTGAACTCCAGACGTCAGGTGATCCACCTGCCTTAGCATCCCAAAGTGCTAGGATTACAGGCGTGAGCCACTGCGCCCGGTTAGTTGGCTTGTTTATTTAGGCTGGAATGTTATGTATCTTAGTGCTTGTTTTATTTTATTTTATTTTTTTTGAGACCATCTCACCCTGTTGCCCAGGCTGGAGTACAGTGGTGTGATGTTGGCTCACTGCAATGTCCACCTCCCAGGTTCAAGTGATTCTTGTGCCTCAGCCTCCCGAGTAGCTTGGGATTACAGGTGCATGCCACCATGCCTGGCTAATTTTTGTATTTTTAGTAGAGACAGGGTTTCATCACGTTGGCCAGACTGGTCTCGAACTCCTGACTGCAAATAATTCTTCCGTCTCGGCCTCCCAAAGTGCTGGGATTACAGGCATGAGCCACCACACCCGGCCACATTTATTTTAGAAACTTGAACATTAGGAAATCTTAAACAGATGCCATTATGTATAGAAAATGGAATGTTTATACAAAACTTTTTTTTGTTGTTTTTATGAATAAGTACAATTTAATCTTTAGATTATTTAAACTCTGACTTACCTTGATGAGTAAATAGTGAATGGTTATAGCACTGAGGTGATATAACAAGAAGTGGCTAGATAAAACTATCAGGTAGAGGCTTACTAGCAATACAGATTTTGAATTTATATAGTTTTGATTTATAGAAACAATAGAAATGATTTCTGTTTTCAGTGACATGAAAATGGATATAATTTTCATTAAGGTGATTATCTGGAGAGACAGTATCAATGTTATTTTAATATTCTAAATAAATAACTTTAATTCAGTAGTAAATAACTTTTATTCGCTAGAGGAATGCACTTAAATATGATGTCTTAAATTCCAGGATATGAAAGATGGCAAGTCCAGATAGAATTAAACGGAAGATATTAAAAGCAAAAAAAACAATGCCCCTAAGTTGCCGGAAGCAAGCAGAGATGCTGAATAAGTCCAGGAATGTTGAAGCACTGAAAACAGCAGCAATTGGGAGTAATGTTCCAAGTGGTAATCAGCGTTTCAGTCCTAGTGTCATAACTACCAAATGTAGCCCTTCTGAAAATGGTGCATCCTCATTGGACTCTAATAAAAATTCAATATCAGAGAAAAGTAACGTATTCTCTCAGAATTGCATAAAACCAGTAGAAGAAATCATTCATTCAGAAACAAAATTGGAACAAGTTGTTTGTTCGGACCAAAAGCCAAGTAAAACAACAGATTCCCCCAGCAATGTCTTCATAGAAGAGGCAAAAGATTCACTGAACACTTCTGAAAATGATTCTGAGTGTCAGACAAATGGAACAAGATCCCTTTTTGAACATGAAGGGGCTTGTAGTCTGAAGTCCAGTTGCTGTCCACCCAGTGTATTGAGTGGTGGTGTTCAGATGCCAGAGTCTACAGTAACCAGTACCATGGATGATAAAATTGACCAGATGGTTTTCCATTTAGAAACAAGCTCCAATTCAGAATCACATGGTAAAAGGCAAGGTGACAACATTTTATGTTCAGAAGACTCAGGTTTTGTGCCTGTTGAGAAAACACCTAATTTAGTGAATTCAGTCACGTCTAACCACTGTGCTGATGACATTTTGAAAACCAATGATTGTAGTAGAACCTGTCCTTCCAGTATTTCAAATGGTGAAAGTGCAGACTCAACATGGCAGTCATCACTTGACACTAATAACAACAGTAAGTATATACTTATGCACCTTTTAGAAAAATTAAAATAGTCACTTTTCCTTGGAGTATTTTAAAGTCTCAAATATACGAACAAGTAGAATATAGACAGGAAAAAGGTAAATGATGACAACAATATCACAGTATCTTGTTTCTGAACCATTCTTGGTGCGGGGGGGGGACAGGTATCCACTATATTAAAAGGGTAATTATTGCAAAGAAGGAATCAATCACTTTTCCTTAAGTACAAAATATCAAAAGGTGGTTTATAGCAATTATTTGGTTCATTTCGTATACATCTCTTCTTATTTTGAAGTTTTATTAGATTAAGAAGGAGGCTAGTTTAAAGAGAGTGGGTTTTAAAAATTGTTGGTAACCCTATTTCTTTCTTTTTTTTTCTTTTTTTTTTTCTTTTTTGAGACGGAGTCTTGCTCTGTCGCCCAGGCTGGAGTGCAGTGGCGCAGTCTCGGCTCACTGCAACCCCCACCTCCCAGGTTCAAGTGATTCTCCTGCCTCAGCCTCCTGAGTAGCTGGGATTACAGGTGGGCACCACTACGCCTGGCTAATTTTTTTTTTTTTTTTTTTTTTGTATTTTTAGTAGAGATGGGGTTTCACCGTGTTGGTCATGCTGATCTCGAACTCCTGACCTCGTGATCCACCTGCCTTTGCCTCCCAAAGTGCTGGGATTACAGGCGTGAGCCACCGCGCCCAGCCAACCCTATTTCTTTCTGTAGAATTGACCTGTAAATCACATGCTAAGTATAAGATGATAGATAATATATTCACACGTGTATATGTGTGTGTGTAGAGAAAGAGAAGCACCCCAAATAGTAAAATGAAGTCCTTGGGTTATAACATCATTAAAATAGCAAAAGTGAATTTCATTTGAAGTAGGGTGTTTTGTTAATGAAATAGAAAAAAACTGATTTAATGCTATAAATGTTGTGTTCTTGTCTAGACTACAGAATGGTCTTTTAACAAGATGAATTTAGAATTACTTAAAAATAATAACAGTATCATCTATTTAAAATATGTATAATACGACTGGCTGGGTGCGGTGGCTCATGCCTGTAATCGCAGCACTTTGGAAGGCCAAGGCGGGAGGATCGCTTAAGCTCTCCAGACCAGCCTGGGCAACAGATCCAAGACCTTGTCTCTTAAAAAAAAAAAAAAAAAACAAAAAAAAAAAACCACGCACTGTGCCTAGCAACTATAATCCCAGCACTTTGGGAGAACAAGGCAGGTGGATCATCTGAGGTCAGGAGTTCAAGACCAACCTGGCCAACATGGCGAAACCCCGTCTCTACTAAAAATACGAAAAAAATTAGCCAGGCATGGTGGGGGGCACCTATTATCCCAGCTACTCGGGAGACTGAGACAGGAGAATTGCTTGAACCTGGAGGGGCGGAAGTTGCATTGAGCGGAGATTGCGCCACTTCACTCTAGTGTGGGCGACAAGAGCGAGACTCCTTCTCAAAATGAAAAAAGAGTACCTTTATATAAAATAATGTAGAACCACTTAAGTCACTATAAATAGAGAATTAAATGCCATAATTTGTTAAGTTTTTGTTCGTGTATTTGTATTGAATTATTAAGTAAGATTGAAGGGACAGTGTGTCTGAGACCAGAACCCTACCTAAGATAACTCATTTTTTTTTAAGATTAGTTTGTAGGTATGTTTTTATTCAATTGAACATTCTAAAAAATGCTGCAGTGTCACATTTTAGTTTTTCCATTTGCTCAGAGGGTCTCTAAGTTAGAGAATTCCTATTTCCTTCTCTTTTTTTCTTCCTTGAAACAGGGTCTCACTGTGTTGCCCAGGCTGGAGTGCAGTGGTCGAGGTGCTCACTGCCACCTCAACTTCCCAGGCTCAAGCAATCCTCTCACCTGAGCCTCCTGAGTAGCTGAGACTACAGGCATGTCCCACCATACCCAGCTAATTTTAAGTTTTCTGTAGAGATGAATTTTTACTATGTTGCCCAGGCTGGTTTTGAACTCCTGGCCTTAAGCCATCGTCCCTCCTTAGCCTCCCAGAGTGCTGGGATTACAGACATGAGCCATCACGATGAACTTGTTTTTTTCTTTAAAATATCTTTCTAATTTTTCCATCTCCTCAAGGCCATTATCAAAAGAAGAGGATGTTTTCAGAAAACAAAGAAAATGTTAAACGCATGAAAACTTCAGAGCAAATTAATGAAAATATTTGTGTAAGTTTGGAAAGGCAAACAGCATTCCTGGAACAGGTAAAATATTGGGGCTTAAATAAAACTTTTACTTTTGATTAGTAAAACATGGTTAATTATCTGGTCTCCACAATGACATAACACAGACAACTTTGACTTGATGCAAAGCTGGTGTGTGAAAGCCAAGTTATCAGACAGAGTGGGGAGAGAGAATTATTTACATCACCAAACAGCTCTGGTTTCTTGAAAATGCTCTCATGCAGAATTGGCTAGGGATCATGTGTAGGTAGAGTCCTGTTGCAAAAAGAGAATGGGCTTTCAGTCAATATTACACTCAGATTTGTCTGTAAGTCAGACACTGCATGATCTTCAGCTTTGTTAAACAATCCAGTGTCTTTGGTACCAGTCATGGGGTTCTTAGATCTGCAGCTATATCCGTTTGTAGATCTGACCACAACCCAGAAGACTCAACCTGGAAGTCCATTGCAAAGTCCCTCTGCATTCAGGTTTCCTTGCCCTGTTTTCCAAACTTAAACGGATATGGTGCATTATCTGACATTTTGCTTTATAGCATCATTAAATACACTTCTTGCTTTCATTGTGGCCTCATTTTACCTCATTGTACTACAGTCTTAATATGTGTCTGATCAATTATTAGCTGAAGTGTAGCGTGTTTCAGTTCTAGTAGAATGGCTATACTCAGAACGGGTTTTGATGACCATGTTTTCCTATTTCACTACCACTAGAATGCCACCACTATAAATCATTATGTGGTAGACTAATGTCTCCCAGTTGTAATGGACCAAATGTCCCCATCCAAACTGCCCTGCAACTGTTTCAGAAACAGAAACACTACCATTTTAGAAAACAGACCATTACAATTACATAGTTACATATACTATGAATATGTATTCTTCACCTAATAATAAGGGAAAATAAAGAGAAAGACTTATGCAGAACCAGTTTAAAGGGTGAGTCAGCAGTTTTTCCCGGTCTACCTTTTGGTTTTCTTCGAAGAAGACCAAAGGAGACACAATAAAAAATATGTAAGTGTTCTGTTGTTGGCAGGGAAAGGGTAGAACTATGGTAAGCATGGATCCTAGTCCTAAGGACCGTGTTTTTCAAGAAGGTTGGGGATTCCAGCTGTGTCTTGTTTCCAGTAATTAGTAGCTGAAGTGAGAAGTAAGTTTGTGTTTGTTCATTTGTTTGAGGCAGAGTCTCACTTTGTCACCCAGACTGGAGTGCAGTGGCACAGTCTTGGCTCAGTGCTACCTCCACCTCCTGAGTAGTTGGGACTACAGGTGTGCACTAGCACGCCCAGCTAATTTTTTGTGTGTATTTTTAGTAGAGACAGGTTTTACCAGGTTGGCCAGGCTGGTCTTGAACTGCTGATCTCAAGTGATCCGCCCGCCTTGGCCTCCCAAAGTGCTGGAATTACAGGTGTGAGCAACTGCACCCAGCCAGAAGTAAGTTCTGATGTGTACATAACCATCTCTAAATAGCTAGCTTTTCCTCATTTCTTATTCCTGTCCAAACAGTTATCTCTCTAAACCATATCTATGTGTTTACCTTGTTTGAATCTTAATGAGATAGCCCTCCCCATCATTCTGACATTGTTCTCCCCTACTGAAAGAGTCCTACAGTGATCGTTTCTTAGTCTTTTGAGGTTTCATAAGGAGCATGGCCTGGTTAATTCCAGTTAAATTACTGAAGAGGAAGGGTTTTTCCTTTACAGTCTTAAGTTATTCACTCTACCCACTATCTCAGAAAGTTGGCACAGATTGGAGATAAGTTTATACTTTCTCCAAACTTCAGGCCAGTTTGGCTGCCATCTCCACTTTGAAGCCAAGACTTCAATCTGATTCCCTGTTGATGGGCACATTACCACTGGTAAAAACATTTATGAGGTATTTGATGGAGGTTATTGTGTCTTCCTTCTGTATAAGGAACATTACCATTAAATTAGAAGAAATGCATAGTCTAACCGAGAGGAGTTACCCCATGGTGGGTACTTAGTCTAAAATGATTAAATTTAAGGACGTGTCCCAGTCTGAACCACCAGGAGTACTTGTTTAAATTGTGGTTTCTTGAGCTCATAGTTGAAGACTGTTGTTTTAGGCTTCTGCTTTCTCAAACGTACCTGATAAAAACAATTTGTAGTAACTGTTTAGTATACAACTTTCCAGGCTCCTTTCCAAAAGATTGTGTTCGGTGGATCCAGGATGGGGCCTAGGAATTTGATTTTAACAACCATCCCCTGTGATTGCTCCTCACCAAGGATGAGGAACACTGTTAGAGAAACACTGTACAAAACAGTGTCTCCACGTTCAAAACATTTAGATCTGTTTCTCCAAGATTCATGTGGGTATGAGCTTCACATATTGAACCCAGCCAGTGAACTAACAAACATGTGATCATAAAACACCACACGAGGTAATCCCAGCACTTTGGGAGGCCGAGACGGGTGGATCACGAGGTCAGGAGATCTAGACCATCTTGGCTAAGACGGTGAAAACCCATCTCTACTAAAAAATACAAAAAACTAGCCGGGCAAGGTGGCGGGCGCCTGTAGTCCCAGCTACTTGGGAGGCTGAGGCAGGAGAATGGCGTGAACCCAGGAGGCGGAGCTTGCAGTGAGCTGAGATCCGGCCACTGCACTCCAGCCTGGGCGACAGAGCGAGACTCCATCTCAAAAAAAAAAAAAAAAAAAAACACCACACGAATAATAGGTAAGGGTCACCGGTAAAAATAATAGTATTGGCCAGACATGGTGGCTCATGCCTGTAATCGTAGCACTTTGGGAGGCCAAGGTGGGTGGATCCCTTGAGGTCAGGAGTTCAAGACCAGCCTGGCCAACAATGGCGAAACCCTGTCTCAGCTAAATATAAAAATGAGCTGGGCATGGTGGAGCATGCCTCTAGTCTCAGCTACTAGGGAGGCTGAGGCAGGAGAATCACTTGAACCTGGTAGGTGGAGGTTGCAGTGAGCTGGGATCACGCCACTACGCTGCAGCCTGAGCGACACAGTGAGACTCTGTCTCAAAAAAAAAAATAATAGTATGTGTTTCTCAGCCTTTTTTTTAACATAATACATTTTGAGCACATTCATTTGCTCATATGTTTAAAAGTTATGAAAGTAAAGTGACAATCAGGTCTAATAATGTAGAGAAACCATGGAAGAAATGTTAGTGAAGCATTAGAGAAGAGATCAAGTAGACAATGTTGAAGAGTGAGAACACGTGGAAACAGGAAGGAAGAGCCTTGGGAATGATCAAAATTAAAGAATATAATCATCCAGGTGATATCAATATAAGAGTTTAACATGGGAACTACGTGTTCTATTTTGAGCATCATGAAGCAAGATACTGGAGGAAAAAATATATAAATATTTTAAATACTTTAAATGTAGCATAGCAGGTCATATTAACAAAGACTGCGTACACTGTGATGAAAGTTGCTTACCAGAAGGATACACACTGAGTAAAATACTACAGTGAATATTTCTGAATGTATGGCTCAGCAGACCTGCTCATATCAGTGGCATTGAAATTATTCTGAATGTATGGCTCAGCAGACCTGCTCATATCAGTGGCATTGAAATTATTCTCCCTGAAAATAGGCCAGTCTTTTCCAAAAAAAAAAAAGATAATGAAGTTTGTTAATTTTTCATATTATAACTACTACGATTTGTTAGAACGGCATGCATTATGCCAGATAACATTGGTAACTACATAATTGTCCTTGGCTTCCCCCCCCCCCCTTTTTTTTTTTTTTTTTTTTCCTGAGATGGAGTGTCTCGCTCAGTCACCCAGGCTGGAGTACAGTGGCATGATCTCGGCTCACTGAAACCTCCACCTCCTGGGTTCAAGCAGTTCTCCTGTCTCAGCCTCCTGAGTAGCTAGCACTATAGTCGCCTGCCACCATGCCTGCCTAATTTTTGTATTTTTAGTAGAGTCAGGGTTTCACCCTGTTAGTCAGGCTGGTCTTTAACTCCTGACCTCGTGATCTGCCCACCTCGGCCTCCCAGAGTGTTGGGATTACAGGCATGAGCTATTGCACCCGGCTGGCTTTTTTCAGTTTTAGCACCATGCTCTAACTAGCTGAGCTAACCAGCCGATTGATATTTAAATTTTAACAATAAGAAAGCCATGCCCTAAAAAAGTTATGGAAATAGTGGTGATCATCTTGCATATTTATTTCATATCAATTCAGTGTTTTTTATTTTATGGTGCTCTTTTGCGTATTACCTTATGTTCCTATAAAAATCCTTTGAGTATCACTTGTTCAGCATTTATCATATTATCTACTCATTTGCCAAGAAGGAAAATGAAGCTCAAAAATAATGCGACTGACTAAAGGGTCAGGTAGCTTATTAGTGGTAATGTCCAGTCTCACACTTGTGTAATTTGTTCTATATCTACTACAGACCAACCATTTTCATCAGGCTCTGGTTTTCAAATAAGTAGAGTTCCTTTATATGGAATACTAACTAGGAGTTATGGACATTAAAAAATATAAATGGTATATAGTCTTTTAATTGTTTCTATAATGTATAATATGGAATTCAAGTGGAACTATAGGAAACTAAAGTTAGCATTATGAGAATAAATTTAATTTCTAACATGTCCAGTATACTTAAATATTGGGTGTGTTCTGAGTTTAATATTCAAGTTTTATAAAACTTACTGGTATAGTTATATAAACATACAAATATAAATCAATAAACTATAATTGGTTATAGTAAATCTGGAAAAGAGCAAGGCTTTTTTTTTTAAGTAGAAAGTAAAATTGCTTTTAAATTTGAAACGTGGGGTGTTTTGGTTTTTATTTTAAAATTCTAGGTCAGACATTTGATTCAACAGGAGATCTATAGTATAAATTACGAACTATTTGATAAGAAACTGAAAGAATTGAACCAACGCATTGGGAAGACAGAGTGCAGAAATAAACATGAAGGAATAGCTGATAAACTCTTGGTAAGTTTTGATTTCATTTTAGTCCTTTTTAGGGGAGTGGGGGGTGTTCTTGCTCTGTTGCTCAGGCTGCAGTACGGTGGCTCACTGCAGCCTCTGCCTCCTGAGCTCAAGCAGTCCTCCCACCTCAGTCTCCAGAGTAGCTGGGAGTACAGGCGCACACCACCATGCCCTGCTAATTTTGGGGATTTTTTTGTAGAGATGAGGTTTTACCAGTTGCCTGAGCTACCCTCGAGCTCCTGAGGTCAAGTGATTCTCTAGCCTCAGCCCCCCAAAGTGCTGGGACTACAGGCATAAGTCACCACACCTGGCCCATTTGAGTCCTTTTAAAAGGAAGAATTTGGTGATATTTTTCATATTAGCAAAGGAAAACGATAAGGGAAGACATACCTGATTCCTAGCCATTAGCCTAATGTAAGAACATATCATAGACAATGTAATTTATTATAGCTTAGCAATATTGGCTTTTGAGAAATATTCATAGAACTGTTAGGTATTCTGTGTCAATTGACAGGCTTAATACTTAGGCAATTTTGGCCAGGTGCAGTGGCTCATGCCTGTAATCCCAGCACTTTGGGAGGCCAAGGCAGGTGGATCACAAGGTCAAGAGATCAAGACCATCCTGGACAACATGGTGAAACTCAGTCTCTACTAAAAATACAAAAATTAGTTGGGCATGGTGGCATGTACCTGTAGTCCCAGCTACTCGGGAGGCTGAGGCAGGAGAATTGCTTGAACCAGGGAGGCAGACGTTGCAGTGAACTAAGATTGCACCACTGCACTCCAGTCTGTTGACAGCAAGACTCCATCTCAAAAAACAAAACAAAAAAATTACATAGGCAGTTTCTTTTAAATCTAAATATATCCTTTATTAGAACTTGTATAACCTGTTTCAAGCTTTTTTTTACTTTTTGTTTTCTTCTTCTAGGATTACTTGCTGACTGATGTTTTTACCCACATTAATTTTACTGTAGACCAGTTAGAAGTTTCAGTGTTTTGTTTTGTTTTGTTTGTTTGTTTGAGATGGAGTCTTGCTCAGTCACCCAGGCTGGAGTGCAGTGGTGCGATCTCAGCTTACTGCAAGCTCTGGACTACAAGTCCCAGCAGCTGGGACTACAGGCGCCTGCCACCATGCCCGGCTAATTTTTTTGTATTTTTAGTAGAGACGGGTTTCACTGTGTTAGCCATGATGGTCTCAATCTCCTCACCTCATGATCTACCCGCCTTGGCCTCCCAAAGTGCTGGGATTACAGATGTGAGCCACTGCCCCTGGCCTTTTTTTTTAAAAAAAAACAGAGTCTCACTCTTGTCGCCTGGGCTGAAGTGCAGTGACGTGATCTTGGCTCACTGCAACCTCCACCTCCCAGGTTCAAGCAGGTGTCCTGCCTCAGCCTCCTGAGTAGCTGGGATTATGGGCACCTGCCACTACACCCAGCTAATTTTTTGTATTTTTAGTAGAGATGGGGTTTCTCCATGTTGGTCGGGCTGATCTCAAACTCCTGACCTCAAGTGATCCGCCCACCTCGGCCTCCGAAAGTGCTAGGATTACAGGCGTGAGCCACTGCGCCCGGCCAAAGTTTGAGATTTTTATCTTCCTTAACTTTAATATTATAGAAGCATAGGCTGGGCATGGTGACTCATGCTTGTAATCCCAGCACTGTTGGAGGCAGAGGCAGGTGGATCACCTGAGGTCAGGAGTTCAAAACCAGCCTGACCAACATGGAGAAACCCTATCTCTACTAAAAGTACAAAATTAGCCAGGCGTGATGGCACATGCCTGTAATCCCAGCTACTTGGGAGGCTGAGGCAGGAGAATGGCTTTAACCTAGGAGGCGGAAGTTGCAGTGAGTTGAGATCACACCATTGCATTCCAGCCTGGGCAACAAGAGCGAGACTCCGTCTCAAAAAAAAAAAAATATATATATATATATAGAGAGAGAGAGAGAGAGAGAGAGAGAGCATAAAATATTATTTCAAGCTTTTGCATGTATTAGAATTTCTCATTTGGATAGATGCGTCTTATACAACTACTTTGGCAAATAATTGACCCTCCATCTCTATATGATATGTAGCACTCTGGCTTAGTATTTATTTCTTTTCTTTTTTTCTTCTAGGCAAAAATAGCAAAGCTTCAAAGACGTATTAAAACGGTATTATTATTTCAAAGGAATTGTTTGAAACCAAACATGTTATCCAGTAATGGAGCCTGTAAGGTTTGTATAAACACACAGGAATTTTAATAATTTAGTTGACTCATATAAGTGGTTTGATTATAAGAAATGAATATATTTCCCAGCTAGGACAGAAGGTGTAAAGGTAAGTAAGTTTTTAGTTAGAGTGTTCCCATGAATCTGTCTCTGGAGAAGACACCCTTAGGTAGTAAATGCCACTTGTATTTCTGTAGTAAAGGGAGCAGAAAAAGGATTGGTGATTGCCAAGATTGTCTTCCCCCACCCCCATTTTATCATGAAAAGTGTCAGATATGTACAGCGAAGTTGAAATTACTTATTTTTAATTATAGTTTAAGTTCTGGGGTACATGTGCAAAATGTGCAGTTGCATTACATAGGTATACACATGCCATGGAGGTTTGTTGCACCTGTCATCTACATTAGGTATTTCTCCTAATGCTATCCCTCCCCTAGCCCCCCACCACCCAACAGGCCCTGGTATATGATGTTTCCCTCCCTGTTCTCAGTGTTCATCTCCTACTTATGAGTGAGAACATGTGTTTAGTTTTCTGTTCTTGTGTTAGTTTGCTGAGAATGATGGTTTTCAGCTTCATGTCACTGCAAAGTACACGAATTCCTTTTTTTTTTTTTTTTTTGACTGCATAGTAGTCCAAGTTATATACGTGCCACATTGTCTTTATCCAGTCTATCATTGATGGGCATTTGGGTTGATTCCTAGTCTTTGCTATTGTAAATAGTGCTGCAATAAATGTACATGTGCATGTGTCTTTATATTAGAATGATTTATAATCCTTTGGGTATATACCCAGTAATGGGATTGCTGGATCATATGGTAGTTCTGGTTCTGTAGATCCTTAAGGAATCACCACACTGTCTTCCACAATGGTTGAACTAATTTACTTTCACCAACAGTATAAAAAGCATTCCTATTTCTCCACATCCTGTCCAGCATATTTCCCGACTTTTTAATGATCGCCATTCTAACTGGCGTGAGATAGTATCTTACTGTGGTTTTTATTTGCATTTCTGTAATGACCAGTGATGAGCTATTTTTCATATGTTTGTTGGCTATATGAATGTCTTCTTTTGAGAAGTGTCTGTTCATATCCTTCACCCACTTTTTGATGGGGTTGTTTTTTTCTTGTAAATTTAAGTTCTTTATAGATTGTGGATATATTAGCCCTTTTTCAGATGGATAGATTGTGAAAATTTTCTCCTGTTCTGTAGGTTGCCTGTTCACTCTGATGATAGTTTCCTTTGCTGTGCAGAATCTCTTTAGTTTAATTAGATCCCATTTGTCAAGTTTGGCTTTTGTTGCTGTTGCGTTTGGTGTTTTAGTCATGAAATCTCTGCCCATGCCTATGTCCTGAATGTTATTGCCTATGTTAAAAACAAGAGCTCGGAGTCGCAAAGAAAATGAGCGCTCAAACAAAAGATTTCTCAGCAAGGTAAATTTACTTCCACAGAAAGGTGCTGCCTGCATTAGTGATGATCACAAGGGCACACTGAACAAAGGAAAGCAGGGGTTTTTATTCCTAATGCCATTCCTGTTTCTGTGTCCTCCCGCCATTAATTGGGGTCAGATTGTACAGTCTAAACTGATCCCAATTGACTAGATTTAGCATTTAGAATAGGACAAAGAACCAGGAAGTTTATTGTTTGTACCTAACAATTTCAAGTAAGGTGGTGTGGGTCAGCTATAACCATGGTAAATGGAGGCATGCCTGGGCGTGTTAAAGGCAGGAAAGATTACTTACAAAATAGAATGAAGGACAAGGAGGGTGAAACCCTTTGAAGAGAAACTGTTCCTAACAATTTTCCCCCTCTGAGAATTTATACATTTTCTTCTTCAAACTTATTTAACATGTCTTGACTTTGTTGTTCTTTTTGATTGTCTAGAAGTAAAAGCTTGTCAGAATAGGGTGGAAAAGAAATGAAGTTTTAGTAGGGTCTGTTTTGTTTTTGTTTTTGTTTTTTGAGATGGAGCCTTGCTCTGTCTCCCAGGCTGTAGTGCAGTGGCATGATCTCAGTTTACTGCAACCTCCTCCTCTTGGGTTCAAGCCATTCTCCTGCCTCAGCCTCCCCAGTAGCTGGGCTTACAGGCACGCACCGCCATGCCCTGCTAATTTTTGTATTTTTAGTAGAGACAGGGTTTCAACATCTTGGCCAGGCAGTTCTCAAACTCCTGACCTTGTGATACACCCGCTTCGGCCTCCCAAAGTGCTGGGATTACAGGCTTGAGCCACCGTGCCCAGCCAGTAGGGGCTGTTTTTATAAGTTATTGTTTTATTGAACTAATCCATGAATAGAAGGTATGATAGAGCAGCCAATGGGAATGAGTACCCTAACTATAATTGCGAGGGAAGTAAAAATAGAAGCCGTGAGTCCTTTCCATTTACCAAACCACCTTTCTAATCATCCTGTAAAGGGTCATTTACCCCAGAATTCCTGGTTTAACTCATTAGATAAGGAGGTGAGACCTTGTAGAGGTTTAGTGATTGTTCCATCAGGGGCTGTATTATTAGGGATGAAGGTACAACACTGGGTTCCTATCATGATACAGACTCCATCTTTTTCTGCTAGTGTCATATCTAGTGCCATCCTATTTTCACAGGCCATTTGGCTAGTAGGCCCTAATTGCTTAGCTATTCCTTTAACGGCGTCCTTAGTATAATTGACAAATTGTTGTTGGTTATAGTAGATATAATTTATCAAATCCACGTTTTTATTAACAGTTACCCACCAGAACAAGGATTCAAACCTTGCAGCTCTTTAGTTTCATGTTTTAATTTATCTGGTACCCCTTGTGGGACTCCAATGGTATCTATATAAACGTGAGAATCAAAAGATCCGTGAGGGGCCTCTCTTGTTTTATGGTGTTGTTTTTCCTTTTTCTGGTTGATGGAATGCCAGGGTGAAAGGGATGGCCAATTGAATTAGAGTACAAGTACTGCTCCAGTTGTTTGGCAGTGTCCGGTAAGGGTCCACTACAGTACCACCATACATCCACTCAAGGATGAGTAAGGGCAGACTGATTGGTAAGCTCTTGGAAAGGCTTAAGGTCACTGCATCCCTTTAGGTCTCCAAGGAAGGCTCAATTTTCTCCCTGTCATGAGAGACACAAAGTAAAATTGGCATCAGAAGATGGAAGGTGGGTGGCCCTCAGGACTGACCTACAGGGTGCTGGACATCGGGGAATAACAGAGAAAGAGCTTGGCATGACTTATTACCCCAGGCTGTGGGGTGCTAGAAGAGAGCTACCATACAGTCCATGCCCGGTTAATTTGAAGGCCATGCGAGTAGAAAGGGGACAACCTGGGCCTCTGGCCTACCATGTGCACAAGTGTAGCAACTGCTTTTGTTTAGAGTGTTAACAGAATATTCAGTTCATTCCATGCAGGCATTTGCTTCTTGGTATCCAGTCTCAATTGCTAAAGTCTGTTTTAAATGTTTTACTTTTACAATAGCTACTTTAGTTTTGTCATTGGGAAGGGGGTGAGGAGTGGCACCCACTATTTGATTTGGTGGATTTAGGGAAGGTGAAGTGGTAGGAGGTAGAGAATGGTGGACAAAATGTATTTCAAGGAGGCTATAGGGTCCCTTCCAGCAACATTTGCTCCTAAACCGTAGAGACAACCTAAGGTGGGCTTAGGGTCAATGGAAGTAGAAGCAGTAGTGGAGATGAGGACTGGGTTACATTGGTAGGATTGACAATTAGAGGGGGTGGTTCATTTAGCGATGTGGAGATAAGGCTTTAGGGCGGCACAGGGACCTTCCGTGAAAGTCCAGCCTTGGTACTGAGTGGTCCAATAAAAATGTTCCCAAGAGCTACAGGATTTCAAGTACCATGCTAGATGGTCACAATGGTGAGAGTTAGGGGTGGGTTCTGTGTGTTCTAGAGGACTGGGGCAAAGGTGCTTCCCTAAAGAGGCTAGTTACCTTTGGGTTTGTAGGTCCCCACAGGGCATAACAAGACAAGCATCAAATGTAATTGTTTGAGGAAATGATGATCGGGTTACATTGATAATAAAATGTTCCTGGGTAGCTAACGGAAGAAAGAGGAAGCAAGTGAGACAGGTTAAGCTTTTCTGAATATTAGTTTGGAAGGTGTTGGCCCAGGAGTGATGACCCATGACTCCAAAGGGGGGTGATGCCTTTTTCACCTGAGTGTGGTGGGTCTACTACCTTTTCTTAACGGTCCAGACTACTGTCTCAGTGGCTAGGAGCACTAGATAAGGGCCCTCCCAGGTTGGTTCGAGTTTTTCTTCTTTCCAGCTTTTGATGAGGACATAATCTCCAGATCGATATGGATGCACTGGGAACTCAAGAGGCAGTGTTTGTGCTAAGAGACCTTGGGTCCTAAGAGAAGACAAAATAGAAGATAAACCAAATATATAATGTCTTTTTGAGGGGCAGTTCGAATTCCAAGCAAGGCAATGGGGAGGGAGACAGGTGGTCCAAGGCAATCAAGTTTTCAAAATCAATTTAAATGATTCTTTAAAGTTTGGTTCATTTTTTTCTGCCTTCCTTGATGAAGGTGGATGCCATGGAGTATGATATTCCCAGTTTATTCCTAGAGTTTGAGTAAGTCCTTTAACAATATTTGCAGTAAAATGAGTTCCATTATCTGAATCAATGTTTTTTATTATTTCAAACCTGGGTACAATATTTTCAATTAATGCCTTAACTAGATTATTAGCAGTTGTGTTTGAAAAGGGAATAGCTTCTACCCAGCGAGTGAAGTGATCTACTATTACTAATAGGTATTTTAGGCCACCAATTGAGGCATTTCTGTATAATCAGTATGGATACTATGGAATGGTCTTAGTCCTGGACGTCTTCCCCCAAGGGGTGATTTTTTTAGAGTTTGCTTATTAGTTTTCTTACATATTAAGCAACTATCTGTAACTTGTTTGGCTAGGGTATAAACTCCTATACACCCATAAACTCTGAGAACTGCATCACACATAGCTTGGGGTCCCCAATGGGCTCCTTGATGCAGCTGAGACAAGACCTCCCTCA